TGTTTCTTTGGGGATTTGTTGTTGGGGGGTTTAATTTTTTGAGTTCCAAGTATATTTTAGATATGAGACCCTTGTCTGTTGTATGGCTAGTAAAGATCTTCTCCCAATCCGTGGGCTTTCTATTGATCTTGCTAGCTAAGACACAGCATGTTTTACATGAGATGAGATGACCCAAAGTTTGGAATGAAATAGCTGGCAAGGAACTGACTTGTGCTTGTAGGGAATAGAATAAGAGAAAAGGGCCAGGAGAGAGGCCTCCACCATTGCCATCCTGTTCTCTCATGTCAATCCCACATTAATAATGGCAGCCACCATGTCTTGAATGCCCGTGTTGTCAGTACTTAGCTGTCTGTTTAAATCTGTTACACAACCTTTGCAAAAGAAGTCTCCTCATCCAATGTGTTAAATAAATTGCCCATAATTGCACAGCTGGTGATGGATGAAGGGCAAATGACAGACCAATGAGGACTTCGTTGTGAATGCCATCTCCTTCCTTTTCTTTGTTATGTGAAAATCTTAGCCAGGGCCTAGGGATGAGATGGTGTAGTGGAGGGGATGGTACAGGAATGAGGAACCTGGGGGAAAATCTCTGCAAAACTGTAAGCTTAAGAATGCACGGACCTGTTACCATGAGTTCAGAATTGGAAAATTGCCTGACATATGGTCACTCCATAGTTGTTCCTCACTGACTGAGAAGAAAGAAGAAAAGGATTTCTATTTTAAGCTGTTGAATGTGGAATTAGTTAAAAAGGAAAGTTATTAGGTGTTAGTTCCCTCACACAGGAGATAAGAATCGAGTTTTTCTCAAGCTTGACTATGCATATTAAATTCATGGAGATCTTTAATCATTAAGGCAAAGATTGGGCCTGAGTAGGAAGGTTTAGATGAAAACTGTATTTCTAAAAATAGTTCCTGTAGGTCATATAATATATAAAGAGTACAAAGTATGTAAACAAAATGTGAAAGGTTAACCATTTACTTGCATTGTTTCTGTAGTTCTAAGTTTTAAGGAATAATAGAGACAGGGAAGGTACATAGGGGCTCTGGGTTCAAGAACAAAACTCTTAAGAACAGAATAAAAAGAAAGTGGAAAAAAAAGGTTGAACCAAATGCTCATCCAAATATGGACTTGTTTTGGGAAAGATCATAACTCTACAAGCTAATCAACCAAAAAACACTAGCAATCTAACATAAATGGGGGAAAGGCTGTGTAACTAGTTCTCTTTCTCCTCTCTGTCATTTTTGTAATATTGTTCTTTTAGATTCAAAGAGAAGTTTAGTTTGCGCTCTCATTAAGAATATTGCTTTGGAACTAGATATCTTCTGTGTGATTAGAACAATTTGATTTAGAAATAAGCAAATGATAGAGTGTTATTTAAACTCATACACTTACCAATTATCTGAACTTCCATTAGAAAATCTTATTTTGCATTATTTTACATAGAGAGAATGGAGTAGTAATGGACTATGTCCATATAGCTACTACTTATTTTAATAATAAAGACAGAAAGCACCTTGCTCATGTAACTGTAACCCCTCTATACAGTATTTTCCCAATAAAAACATTAATATAAAAAAGTATTTTTTTTATAAAAGCTTTAGATAATGGGAATGTAACTCAGTGATTGAACATGTGCTTAACATGAACAAGGGCCTGGGTTCAATCTCTAGCACCAAAAAAAAGAAATAGTAATAAAAAATACTGTAGAGCATCTTTGTAAAGTGTTACTTAATATGCCATTGTGTGACTTATATTATGACAATTATTAAATGTCCTATTTTTGGGAAAAAAGACAAAAAGCTAAATTTCCTAGTGTAGGTTCTCTAATCACATTTCATTTTCTCTTTACGACAGGTTAAAGCTTCTAATTTTCTATATTTTAAGTACATTCCATTCCTTCATAATTTCTGTGTTTTAAAACTTCATGTAAATGATACCAAAAAGTGTTTTCACTGATGCTTTTATGTAAACTTTATAAAAATCTATCCATTTTCCAAGATGTATTGTATTCTATTAACTTCACACTCCTACCTTTGAGGTGATATCCATTTTCCCCTTCTGTACCCTTTTACCATATCTATGCAGATTAAGTATTTCATATATTAATACAATAGTTTCTGCACACCCCATGACATAACTGAGGAACCATGCACTACTCAGTTGAACTCCTGACCAATCTCACTAAAAGGTTAGAAACAGTTGGTAATTCATGCAGGTGGTTTATTGAAATTCTCATCTACAAACTAGGCATTATTTTCAGGGCTTTCTCAAAATTTAAATGAAATGCAATTGAGATGATTGGTGTGATATAGAATTAAAACTGATGACTGCATTTTCCATATCAGAATTGGGTTGTCTAAAACGTGAGTGCCTTATTTTCATGACTGAGTTCTTGACATTGTAAAGAGTGAATGAGATTTAAAGATGAGATCTACTTGGGTGTGTCGAGTCTACTTACCGTTCTAAAATTCCCAGTTTTTCAGTTAAAACCTTGAAAACCACCTTTTTGTTCTCTATATTTTTAGCTTCCCATGGATACATACATCTCTGGGGTTTGTTCTGTAATTTTATCAGTCCCTCTTGGTGATGCTTAGAGTCTTTTACCACAGTGAACTATTTTGTAAATAGCTCTGCTGTCATTTAGAAAAGTAGAGAAAGCCTCCGGGAAAAGTATTTACCCAGACAAATGGAAATGGATAGTCCAACACTTACCAATTAATTTATTAAATGTGCTCAGTCCTGTGGATAAATCAAAGAAATGTTCTCTGTTCCCTCCACTCTATTTCCAGCTTGGGATTGGCCTAAAGTATCTGAGATAATTACCTCCATTTCCTACTTCGGCTTTGTCTACACAGATCTAGTCTGACTCCCTGCTCCCCCAGTGAACCAACTGTTCTCATCCTCATGAGAAAAATCTTTACCTAGCTCCCAACCTTTTGTGCTACTACATTGTCATTTCTCCTGTACCTCCCTTTTGCTTTTGATGAAAACCTGGGCACAGTCACTCTTGGAGTATGTAACACTTGAATCCTGTATGCTTTAGGCTTTTTTTTTTTTAATGAGTGGAACATGTTTAAAGTGGACTGAATAATGTAAAGTCTTTTTTGAAATTCTAATAAAATAATAATAAGAAAAATCTTGACTTGTAAAAATTGTTTCTGCAGATGGCAGCTGAATGGGAGCCGAATTGATAGCAGTGTGCGCCATCATTATAAGCTGAGTGGAGGCAACCTTACGATCATGAACCCCAATAGGAACTGGGATACTGGAAGTTACCAGTGCTTTGCCACAAACTCACTTGGAACAATTGTCAGCCGAGAAGCCAGACTCCAGTTTGCTTGTGAGTTTATGATTCTACATCTAACAAAAACAACATTTTAAATGATAGAACTTGATTTGTGTGTTCATTGTGGGGGAGGGTGTCTCAGAAACCACACATAAGGTTTATTTGAAAAGTAGGCTTGCAATTCAGCCTTTTTTTGCGGGGCGGGGACACCTCCTCTATTTAATGCACCAATTATGTCTTAAAAATGGCTATGTCAGAATTGGGAATGTGGCTTAGCAGTAGAGTGCTTGCTCAGCATGCATGAAGCCCTAGATTCAATTCCTCAGAAAAACAGAAAAAACCTGAAGTGACCCAGTGCTCAAGTGGTAGAGTGATGGCTTTGACACAAAGAGGCTCAGGGACAATGCCCAAGGACTGGCAAAAATAACAACAGAAAAATGTATATATCAGCCAGGTGCCTGTGCCTCATGCCTATAATCCTAGCTACTCAGGAGATCTGAGGACCATGGTCTGAAGGCATCCTGGGCAGGAAAGTCCATGAGACTCTTACTGCCCATAAATTAATTACTCAGGAAAAGTTGGAAGTGTCACTGTGGTTCAAGTGTTAGAGCACTAGCTTTGAGCACAGCATCCAGGCCCTGAGTTCAAGACCCAGGATATGTGCAAAAAAATGTCTATTTCACAATTACCTAAAGAAAATAAAAATAATAAATAAAAAATAAATAAAAAATTCCATGTTGGTGTTTGCAAATCTATATAGCAATACATTAACTGAAAGAAAGAATAAGGAAGTTCTTTGTGCAAGCAGACACTAGCTGAGTATATGTTGTATGTTTAAATGCTTAGTAATTTTCTTTGTTTCTATAAAGGAGGACATTTTTGTGTTTTTCATGAAGAAATGACAAAATAAAAAAAAAGTATTTTCCATGCTAGACAGAAATGCAAAGAAATTTTGGTCACACTTTGCAAGTTGCTTGACATTAGTGTTGATAATAAAATGAAAGTGAAAAGGCCATTCATTGGTCATTTGAGAAACCTGCTTTTCTCAGACATCATCAGTGGATTTTTAATACAATCCCTCAGTCTTGTTGGGTGGTCACAGAACCAATGCAGGAAGGAAATTTGTGAAATGATACAGTGTTTGACTTGTGAAGAGTTTCTCAATGATTTGCTGTTAGGTTTCATGTCTATAATATTTGGTCCTCATTTAATTAACTTGGAGTTGCTTTTATCAACTTCCTAATTCTCATGGCAGAAGGCTGAAGGAATTGCCTTCAAAAGCCCAACCATCACTGATGTGTGAGTAGCTAGTTTTGTCTTACCCCTGCATTGATTTCTCTTTCTTACTTGATTAAAAATGTCAACTTCCCTAGCCACAAAAGAAATGCAAATCAAAACAACATTGAGTCATAGGGGAGCTCTATGTGAAGTCTTTTGAGGAACCTCCATACTGCTTTCCAAAGTGGTTGAACAAGTTTACATTCCCACCAACAATGAAGTAAGGTTCCTTTCTGTCCCAGCATCTGTTGTTAGATTATAGCCATTCTAACTGGGATGAGGTGGTGTCTCCATGTTGTTTGGATTTGCATTTCTTTCGTGGAGGGGAAGGGCAAAAACAAATCATTTAAATAGGGATACAGGTGGACCCACTGCAACAATGAGATGTACAAGTCCTTATGTTGAAAAAGGAACTTTACAACTTTGGTGGGGCGGGTGGCAGGGCGCAGGATGATAGGAAGGGAAGGGAAGGGGAAACAAAGGAGGAGACAACAATGTTTGATAAGAAATGTACTCATTATCTTGCCCATGTAATTGTAACTCCTCTGTATGGTATTTTCACAATTAAAAACAAAACAAAACAACATTGAGATTCCACCTCACCGCAGTTAGAATGGCTATAATCAAGATCTCTAATGACAACAGATGCTGGAGGGGATGTGGACAGAAGGGATCCCTACTGCATTGGTGGGAGTGTAAACTTTTTCAACCACTTTGGAAAGTAGTATGGAGGTTCCTCAAAAGACTCCACATATTGCTCCCCTATAACCCAGCAATCCCACTTCTGGGCATTTACCTAAATGATCACAAACAAGACCATACTAAAGCCATCAGCACAATTATGTTTATTGCAGCATTATTTACCATAGCTAAGATATGGAACCAACTCAGATGCCCTTCAGTAGATGAATGTATAAAGAAAATGAGGTATATATACGCAATGGGATTCTGTCTCCATCAGAAAGAATGGCATTGCCCAATTTGTTAGGAAATGGAAAAACTTGGAAAAAATTATATTAAGTGAAGTAAGCCAGGCCCAAAGAAACATAGGTCCCATGGTTTCTCTTATTTGCAATAGCTAGTATATGTCTGAGACGAGCAGAAACGGTCAGATAAGTTGATGTTATGTGAAATGAACCCCAAGATAAGGACTCAAATGTTATTTTTCTTTCTTGCAATTGTTTCTAACATATTTATAAGATATTTCTTTGTTGCTTTGTATGTCCCACCCCACGGTATAACCCCTGTTTTTACTGTATTTGATTTTGGTATAATTTGTGGAGGGAAAGGTGGACCCATTGCAACAATGATGTACAAGACGTTATGTCAAAAAACGAACTTTACAACTTTGGCATGGGGGGGTGGTGGGATGGGAAGGGATGGGAAGGGGAAACAAAGGAGGAGGCAACAATGCTTGATAAGAAATGTACTCATTACCTTGCCCCTGTAATTGTAACCCCTCTATATGGTATTTTCACAATAAAAAAAAAGAGAGAGAAAAAAGTAAAAAAATAAAATCAGCCACTAGCTAGCTACTCAGGACACAGAGATGTTGAGGATCACAGTTGGAGGCCAGCAAAGCCTTTCCCTGTATAACTTATATTCTCTTCTGACAGCTTTAGAAGTTTACAGTTTTTATTGGGAAATGAGAAGGCTATTGTCCTAATTGTACAAATAAAACATTTCATGTTCTACTTTTCACACTCAAGTCTTTATCATTGGTTTTGTATATCATATGAGGTAAGATTCCAATTTAGTTTATTCTACTACAGTTACATAACTGAATTAACTGATTGATTAATGAACCCATTCTTTATTGACAGAAATGCTGTGCTGTGTTACCATTTCCAGTTTTGTTGTACTTTTCTGTTTGGAGGATATTTTATGTCAATCATGACCATTTTTTATTGTTTGTAGACACATTCCTTTTATGTATTTTGTTATGCTTACTTGCTTATATATCAAGCTGAATATTATATATGTATATATAAAGCATTGACTAGATGTATTGAGGATGGAGGGTGGAGATCTCTTGGGTGCTTGCAATTTTGAATACCATTAATATTTGCCATCAGATATGAAGTTGGCATCGAGATTTTATTGTTAACTTTTATCAGTTATGTGATAGTTTAGATGCTATTATGAATGTTTGTTTCTTTCCATTTTCATGTTTTGCAGGAATATATATTTCCCCCCTCTTAGGCTGCTAAAATAGTGAACATTTTTCTAATATTAAATGGCCTTCCATACTCCTGTCAGTTTCAACTTGGCTTTTATGTAATTTTTCTATTACTTAGATATTAACTTTTTGTTCATATTCTGCATAGCATTTTTCCATATATATATATATGAATTTTTTTTTGCTTTATGATCTCATGTTATTTTTTCCTTTTCTGGATTTATTACCAAATTTATATCTACCACTAAAAACAAGTTAGAGTATGCCTTATTTTTTTTTGTTCCCTATAAAACATGGAGAAGTAGTGAAATTACTTGTTTCTTAAGTCAGATGTAAAACATAGATACGAAACCACATAAGCCTGCATTTCCTTGGAGGACATGTTAATTTTATTAGTTATATTTATTGAGTAGGTACAAGACAAACCATACTGTTCATATCTGTGTGACAGATTGTATTTTCCTAGCATTTTTCACTTTATATTTTCTAATGCATCATCAAAGATACTATAAAATATTTTCATTATTTCTTTCTTAGTTCAACATAAACTAGATATATATTCCCTATTTTCTTATAAATGGTATTTTGTTCTTTTAAAATCAAATTCAATTATCACTTTTTCACTGTTGAATTTCCATACTATTTCATGCATTTTACTTTGTCCATTCATTATACAAATGTCCATACCTTCTACCAATTAACCAGAAAAGAACTGGACTACAGGTGTGACTGACATGGTCAAATGACAGCCATGAACAGCAAGCTGAGCACAATCCCTGAGTTCCAGTCAAATCATTAGCCAAAAAGAAAAAGAAAAAAGAAATGTGTAGAGGTTTATTATGCTATACTTCTGTAAATATTTTGAGTTCCTTATGATTCTGTTTGACCTGTGAATTTTCAGATATGTACTGCTTTTACATTTTCAAACATAAAATTTCAAAAAATATTAATTATAATTTCATAGTTGCCCAAAGGAGTAGCCATTCAATAGAGCAGTTTATGAATATAATGTGTTGATCAACATTACCCCTTTCAACATATAAAGTTTTAATAGTGTTTTTTTTCCTATTTCTAAACTAGCAACCCATTGACTATAGAATGGACTTTCATATTTTAACTCTTGGCTAATTTTGATGTTTTTTCCAAAGTATAACATTTTAAAATCATCATATTATATTCTTATCTCATTTTTTATTTATATTATGATTTGATATTCATGGTCTATACTTTTTAGTAATAGGCTTAAAATTAATGTATATTTTCAGGATGACAGTACTGGGTTTTCCATATGTCCACTGCATTAAATTTAATTATGCCATTAAACTTAATTATACTGATGTTTGAGATATTAATTTTTGTGGATGATGTAATGTCTTTCATTTATCCTGGTATTTCTGTTCATTTTTGCTTTATTTAAAAAATTTGATATATTTTTGTAAACATGTGATGACCTCATAAATGGTTTGGATTTAGGATTTAAATACTAATACACGATAGGCTGTATTAATGTACTACGATATTGATCTTTTTCATTATTCTCTTCGTTTTTATTTTTTTCTGTTCTCAAAAGTATTGCATTGCTTTTCCTGTGATATTT